GAAATACCGTGTCACACATACCCTTCTCAAAATTTTTAATCACAATACACAATTCTCAAAAATCTGTCTTTAGGTGGATGCAGGTAGCTCACTCCTGTAATCCTATTACTTAGGAGGCTGAAACTTAGGATTCTTGTCCAAAACCAGCCTAGGCTGAAAAGTGATTCTAGTGGTACGCAGCCAGCTTTTAGTAAAAAGAGAGAGGAAAAAAAAAAGCCAAGTAAGAGTACAAGGCCTTGAGTTTAAGCCTCAGTACCAGCACACATATGCATACATGTGCACATACTTCTTTTGTCTGTTATACTTTTTTATAAGGCTAGAGATGCAGCTCAGTGATACAACATATACTGTGCATGTGCAAAGCCCTGGATTTAACCCTTAGTAAAGATATGCATGCCACGCATTCACACACATACACACACACACACACACACCTGACTCTAAAATTTTTCAAGTGCTCCTAAGTAACTTCTGTTTATGTAGAGTTTATATGTGGACATTTACTGTGTCAATATTAAAATTAATTAATTTAAAAATACTTATGTGTTAAATCATTAAAAAAATGAGAAACCACTTATTATATGCTAAAATAGATAATATATCTTTATGAAAAATAACTATATTCCTTTCCCCCTAAAAAAGTGAAATTGGCATTTCTAAAATATTTCCAAATCAAATTTCTGTACCCTGTGAAAAGTAAGAGTAAAGACAAATAAGCTATTAGTCCCATTATGAAAATAATTTTGACCTTACAGATCCCAGAAAAAAATCATAAATTAATCATGTCCAAGTATAATTATTTGTCTTTTACTATCCATTGGATTAACTTGTAGAATTCTATATATATTACATATGTTTACAGTTATTACAAGTAAGAGAAACCACATAGCCTGTTTTGGGGGGGTCTGGCTTACTTCACTTGATATAATTTTTTTTCAACCTAATACTCAAAGTAATCTTTTTAAACTATGAAACAGATCTTATCCCTATGTATAAACCTTCCAATGGTTTCCTATTGTACTAAGGATCTCAACTCCTCATGAGGATTTATGGGATCTGGCATCCTCTCTTTTTCCATGGCTTCACCTTTCCTCTTTCCCTTACTTAAGATACCAGTCACACTGGCCTTCTTTCCATGCTTCTTGTCAACCTCATCCAGTGCCTTTGCATTTCCTAGTCAGATACTCCCCAGACAGGTCTCAGGTTTTGTGATTCCTTGTCAATTTAGGCATGGCTAATAGTAATTCATGTCATCACCTTATCCAACATTCCAAATAAGTTGGGCATAATGTACAACACCTAGAATCCCAGCTACAAGAAAGGTAAATGCTACCATAGCTAAGATATGGAACCAACCCAGATGCCTCAGTAGATGAATGGATCAAAAAAATATGGTATATATACACAATGGATCTCTATGCTTCTATCAGAAAGAATGGCATCACCCCATTCATAAGGAATGGAAAGACTTGGAAAAAATATTAAGTGAAGTAAGCCAGACACAAAGAAACACAGGCTCCTTTGTTTCCCTCATCTCTAATAATTAGTATGTCTAGGATAGTCCTACCAGAGGACCACAATAGCTCAATAGCTATGTACATATGACCATATAAAATGATGCTAATTGACATGAACTCCAATATGGAAACAAGAGGGATTTTTGCTTTTTTTTTTTGTTTTTGTTGTATGTACTGTGTGAAGTTCTTTCTTTTATTTTCCTTTGGTTTGTGCACTGTTGTCACTGTTTTTTATTTTCGTACCCTGTGTCTTCTATATACAGTTGTCTGATCTGCCTCACAAAATGGTGAGAAGGACGAAGGGTAAACCAATGCAACAGCGATACTCACAAGACACTATGTTGGAAATGAACTTTACAACTTTGGGGGGGGGGGGAGGGAAAGTACAAGAAAACAAGGGAAGGGGGTAACACTGTTTGACAAGAAATGTACTCATTACCTTATGTATGTAACTGTAACCCCTCTATACACCACCTTTACAATAAAATAAAACAAAAAGAAAAGGAAATGTAAGATTATAGCAGTCTGAGACCACCCAAGCAGAAACCTTAAGAGCCCCTATCAATAAAACAAGTAAAATCAACAAGAACAACAAAAAGGGTGGAATTATGGCTCACGTTGTAAAGCACCTGCCTAGCAAGCATGAAGTCCTCAGTTTAATCCCTAATACAAATAAATAAATCCTAATTGATTACATTTAAAAATTCTTGGAAAGCCAAAAACAACTTTATAAACCATATAAAATAAATCTACCAGAAAATTACAGTAAATATTAAACTTGAAGGTGAAGCCTTGCAATGGAAGAAGGAAGCATATTTTTTATAAACATGGGGAGATTTTCAAGATTTTTGAGTAAATAAAAAAATTGAAGGTATTTTACAGTAGTATCCACAGGAATGGACAATGGTATATAAATGTACAGAAATAAGGCTTGCAGAAAACACATTAGTCTAATAAATGCTGAGGAGCGATGGTGAAGACCAAGTGGATTAGTGGAAGTACAGATGATAGGGTTTGATTAAAATAAACTTTTAACTTTATTTCCTATGTTTCCATTTGTCCCTATGTTCTATTCTTATGAATTTATTAGCTAATTAACATTAATTTTAATAGTAAAATCACTAAAACTATATACCAAAACAGTTTTAGTCTTTAGGATTTGTTTGTTGGTCGTGGGGCTTGAACTCTGGGCCTGAGCACTGTCCCTGAGCTCTTTAGCTCAAGGTGAGGGCTCAACCTCTTGAGCCACAGCACCACTTCTAGCTTTTTCTGCTTATGTGGTGCTGAGGAATCGAAACCAGGGCCTCGTGTATGCAAGGCAAGCACTCTACCACTGAGCCACCTTCCCAGCCTGTTTTAGTTTTTAATGATAGTCAGGGATCTGATTCGTTTTTCTGGTTTAAGTTTAGAGATCATAAAGATATTTTCTTCATATTCCATTTACTAATCCATCTTGGAGCTGAACTGATTATTAATCCATTAGCAAATCAGATAAATCTGAACTATGCCAAGTTAACAAACACCATCTAAGGGAAAAGACTCTAGAACTGGCCAACATCCTACATGACATGAAGAGTAAAATAAACTGACACTGGAAGATACTCTTCCATTCCTTTTCTTTTGGAATAAAAAAAATCAGTCCTCTTACCCTTGGTGTCTGCTTTGATCTTCACTACAGTGAGCTGTTCAGCATGGACTTCAGCTTAGGATTCACTGTCACTCTCAGAAAAGAATAGGGAAGTCAACTTTCTACCCTGTGGAAATGGAAACACATTTCTTTCTTGGTAAACACTTGTGGATTTGAAGATGCTTAAAGAAGTCTTGCAGTTTGCCTTCATTAGTGCAGAGCACATGGGCAGCAAAGATGGCGCTGGGAGAGAATAGAGTGGGCAGAGCCCAATTCACCTTAAGATGTGCCTAACCAGCCCGTGAAGGCTTAGGAGCAAGATAGGGTGTGACCTTGCCAGTGATTGGTTCCTCTTCCTCCCTTGCCATGCCACCCGCCCTTTTTGGCTTTAAAAAGGGCTGCTCTCTGTTAATAAACGAATTTTCTACCTGATGGATTTGGCTCCCCGCTGTGTCTGATTGTCATCTCCCGGGCTGAGGGAGGCTGGGGAGCGGGCAAGCACCGCACTTACCTTTCCTCGGACCCCGTCCGTCTTTTGAGGGACGGAAGAAGACCCAACACATTAGAAATTAGTTTTGTCCTCTGGTTGCATGAGAGTGAGTGTATGTGCGTATGTGTGTGTGTGTGTGTGTGTGTGTGTGTGTCTGTGTCTGTGTGAAGGAGGCAAATTGTAAAAATCTTTCCAAATTTCACCTGTAGAGGGATCATTTCACGCTTCATTCAATGAGGCCAGAGTTACTTCAAGAGACACTGCAAGAAAACTAGTCACCGAAATTTCTCACGAACATAGATACAAAACTTCTAAACAAAATTTTACCAAGGGAATTCATTAACACGATGATAATATATCATGATCCCAGTAACAGCAGATCAATGGTTATTTGGGGCTAGCCAGAGGGGCTGGATGGAAGGCAATCAGAAGGGGTCTTTGGGGAGTGATAGATACATTCACTATCTCCATTATGGTGAAAGTTTTTCAGATATGTATGTATGTCCAAAAAAAAATTGTTTTTAACAAGGCTGGGCACCCGTGGCACATGCCTATTAATACTTGCTACTTAGGAGGCTGGGATCTGAGGACGGAAGTTCGAAGCCAGCTCAGAGTGGAAAGTTTGTGAGACTCAACTTGAATTAAGCACCCAAAAGCCAGAAGAGAAGCTGTGGCTCAAGTGGTAGATGGTTATCTTGGAGCAGAAAAGCTCAGGGACAGCCCAGTGGCCCCGAGTTCAAGCCCCAGCACAGGCACAGGCGCTAGCGCGCGCCCAATAAAAATAATTCACTTTGAGCACGTGCAGTTTATCGTGTGCCAATTCTGCCGGAGTAAAGCTCCTTCTAAAACACACTCTGCAGCGAGTGTCTGGGAAGAGGCAAAACAGGGTGAAAAGTGGGTGTCACCGCGTCCTACGTGTTCGTGGACACGCCTCCCTCCCGCACGGTAACTTTCTGGAAGGCGGGGCTGCGGTGGGGGAGGCGCTGAAGCCTCTTCTGGAAGGCGGCCAGGCCACGGAGGAGGGGCGGAGGACGGGGCCGGCAGGCAGGCCTCCGCACACCAACTACGGACGACGCTAAGCGGTGCCCTCTCCGGACGCACGCCCAGGGCAGGACGCCCCGACACCCGGGGCCCTCGGCGCCCAGCCAGGGCGGGAGCCCGCGGAGAGAACGCACACGGGGGACCGGCGAGGAGACCAGGGCCTCCCCGGCTCCACTCCTCATCCGGCGAGCTGAGGTCCACACGCGAGAGGGCCGGCGCTGGCTACCGGAGCCCGGCGAGGCCTCCGCTGGGGGGCGGGACGCGCGGCCGCCGCTCCTCCCCCGGCCGGGCGGGCCGGGGCCTGCGCCCCGCCTCTCCCACGCCCCCCTCGTCACCGCGCCGCCATGCCGGGCCGCCTGCTGCGGGCGCTGTGGCAGCGATGGCACCGATACAAGTACCGCTTTGTCCCCTGGATCGCACTGAACCTCAGCCACAACCCGAGGTGAGAGGGCCGGGCGGCCAACCTAGTGCCTTCCTTCCGCCTGACAGCCCGGGCTACGCGGCTGCGGACGGCGGAACCTGACGCGCCCGAAGAGCGTCAGGCGGAGCGGCTCCAGGGGGCGGAGCGGCTCCAGGGGGCGGGGCGGCTCCAGGGGGCGGAGCGGCTCCAGGGGGCGGGGCGGCTCCAGGGGGCGGAGCGGCTCCAGGGGGGGGAGCGGCTCCAGGGGGCGGAGCGGCTCCAGGGGGCGGAGCCTGAGGCAGTGTAGCGGGCGGGGCAGTGATGAGCGAGGGCTGAGGGGGGAGGGGGTAGCGTCGTGGGCGGGGCCTGAGGCAGGTTGGGGCTGGATGGGCGGGGCTTTCGTCCGGCTGGGCTGTGGCTCGTAAGACCCTTTGGCAAAGTGAGGTCTGGAAGCGGTCGCGGGCCTTAGGTGGGCGGGGCCTGGGGCCTCTTCCCAGAGTGCACCGCGCGGCGCGGTCCTCACAAACCTGGTTGTTCCCTGCGTGGAGGCTCGTGGTGCGTCTTCGGCTGTCTACACTCGCTGGGGCCCTGCAGAACTAGGAGGCTTTCTACGCGGAAGGGGGTTGGCTCTGAGTGAGCCGAGGCTTGTTTTCCAACTCGGTGGAAGTGATTTGTGTGGCGAGAGCGCCTCAGCTCGGCGGGGACGGGGAACAGCCGCGTGGAGCTGCTGTGGGTGGAAACCTGCCGCGGGAGGCCTGGCCGCGCCGCCCGGAGCCGGGCCTCTGGTGTGGGGTGGGCCTGGCGGCCTGGCCGCGCCGCCCGGAGCTGGGCCTCTGGTGTGGGGTGGGCCCGGCTGGCCGAGGGGCTTGGCGCCAGTGTCGCGGGTGGCACGGTCCCAGCCATCTGCAGGAGGTCAGCCCCCAGCGGCAGCCCTCTGCGCGAGGCCGGGTTCTGAAAACCTGGGGAAAACAGAGGTCGTGGCCAAAGCTTCCGAGCCACAGGAACGTGCGCTCGGGTGCTCCATTACCTTAGACCCCAGCCCCCCAAAACCACCCAGAAGCGTCCGTCCTGTTCCATAGTAAAAATACGACTCGTATAAAAAAGTAATACGGTCTGGAAACAAAAGTCAGTAAAACAGTACTCGCAGGAGGAAATATGGCAAAAGATGGAAGGCTACCTTACCTCGGCCTCTGACGCTGCTTGCCTCCGGTTGTGTTCTCTAGCTGAATTCTCAACGTGAAAATATTCACTTGGCCGGGCGCCGGTGGCTCACGCCTGTAATCCTAGCTACTCAGGAGGCCGAGATCTGAGGATCGCGGTTCACAGCCAGCCTGGGCAACAAACGCCATGAGACTTATCTCCAATTAACCACCAGAAAACCGGAAGTGGCGCTGTGGCTCAAGTGGTAGAGCGCTAGCCTTGAGCTGAAGAGCGCAGGGACGGCGCCCAAGCCCAGAGTTCAAGGCCCATGACCAACCAAAAAAAAAAAAGAAATTCATTTGACTATTGGGGGTAGTGAGAGAAAGCTGAGCTACACTTCTGCATCTGCTTTAGGACCTCAACCGAGTTCCTTAACATCTCCAGGCCTCACTTTCTTTGCAGAAGTGAGATGGTGTATCAGGGTACCCAGCAACGGTTGCTGGGTATTAATTAAATATTAGCCACTTGCAGGAGCAATATTGGGAGTTCGATCATGTAGATTACCCTCCAAATTCTTTCCTAGACTTCGTTTATGCCTTCCAAACAGATGAGAATGTTGCAGTTCATTAAGGCCAAAAACCCAGAAAGCGTCAGGACTGTCTTTTATCCATTGAAGGGTAGTGAATGGAAACTTTCCCCATTTTCAGGACCCTTCGACATGTTCCAGAGGAATCCAAAGACAAAGTTATCTCAGATGAAGATGTCCTAGAAACGTTACTGAAAGTATTCCAGGCTCTGTTCTTAAATGAGTTCAGTAAACAATCAGCTATTTTGACTATGCTTCCAGAATCTGTTAAGTCAAAATATCAAGACCTACTGCCAATGCAGCATCCAAGGGACAATCTGCTTGAAACAAAACATGAACAGCAAAATATTTTTAAACCAGAAGAAATTCTTTATAAGACATTGGGTTTCAGTATTACCCGAGCAACTAGTTCATTGATTTCTGCAGGAAGAGGTGTCTTCATTACTAAAGGATTGGTACCAAAAGGCGCGGTTGTATCTATGTATCCTGGTAACAGCTTAATTAGTACTGCCAAGAGTTTCATATACTGATAAATCAAAGTTGTTAATGCTTAGGCCTAAAATCCTTCGAGTGAAAGTTTGAATGGGAAACCCAGGTTTCCACAGATCTTTAAAATTCTAATTTGGTAATTAACTTTATTTATGTTGTGTGTTAGAAAGTATCCTGAAGTATTTGTTGGGACAAATGCAGTTTTTCTTTTAAGAAAATCTTTCTAGCTGGGAAGGTGGCTCAGTGGTAGAGCGCTTGCCTTGCATGCCTGAGGCCCTGGGTTCAATTCCTCAGCACCACATAAGCAAAAAGAAAAAAAAGCCGGAAGTGGCGCTGTGGCTCAAGTGGTAGAGCACTAGCCTTGAGCTGAAGAGCTGAGGGACAGCGCCCAGGCCCAGAGTTCAGGCCCCACGACCGGACCAAAAAAAAAAAAAAGAAAATCTTTCTAGTGTTCAAATTTACAAGATAATATGCTCACTTGGACAAGTTATTTAGTATTAAAGAATAAGACAGTTTGTCTTAGTTGAAAACAAAAGAGAAAATGTTATGGTTAACATAAATGGGGTAAAAAATCATAAATCACTAGAAAAAGACTTCTGGTTTTTTTACATGTAGAAAGTAAATCAATTTCTTTGCACAATTGTTGAATACAATGCTATTCAAATAGAATATGTTATTTGTTAAACTAACTTGCTTTGTTTAGCAGCAAATGTATGTTTGAATCAGGCCTATGTTATTTTCCCACCAGGTGCCTTGGCTTACAACTTTAACCCTAGCTACTCAGTATACTGAGATCTACAGACTGTGATTTCAAGCCAGCCCTGGCAGAAAGTCTGTGAGACTCTTTATCTCCAATTAACCACCCAAAAATTGGGAGGTGGAGCTGTAGCTGAAGTGCTAGAGTGCTGGGCTTGAGCAAAAGACAGAGTTCAAGCCTCAAACCTAGGACTGGCATAAAAAAATTATTTTTCTTCTTTCTGATCTTGTGTCCCTAAGTAAGGTAATCTCAGTTTCCTCCTATACAAATACCTGACTCTGTGAAGATTTTATAGAACAAGCCAACAAACTGACACTAAAATAAACAATACACAGATTAACATTCCCCACACTTAGGAAGCACTCAGCTAATGCCTTTCCTCCCCTTCCCTTTTTTATCCTTTCTCATCCCCTTCCCTCCCCATTTTTCTTCCTCTCCCTTCCCCTTCAGGCTAGGCAGGTGCTCTACCACTGAACTGTATCTCCAGAAACAAAACACATTTTTTGAGTGACACTTTAGCAGATGCCAAAAATCACGCTCTGCTTTAAAGATATGTAAAACTTGGTAAACTAGCCTAAAATATGATGCTCATATTACCATTGTGGAAGACAGTTGTGTTTAGTTCTGTTACGTGGAGCGTTGGTTTGTACTCCATTATGGAGCACAAACTCTTTAATTTTTACTTTTTATTGTTATTGTAAAGGTGATGTACAGAGAGGTTTCAGTTACATAAGTCAGTAATGAGTACATTTCTTTTTGAACAGTGTCACCGCTTCCCTCATTGTCTCCTTGCTTTTCCTTCCCATCCTCGCACCCACAAGTTGCATAGTTCATTTTCAACATAGTGTCTAATGAGTACTACTACTGTATTTGTTCACTCTTTTTCCCACCATTCCTGTGGAGCACAAACTCTTTAAAGGGGAAAATAACCAAAGAGAATGTGACACATTGGAGATGAAGGATTAAAGAAAATGGAGGAGCATGTATTAAAATGTCATCGTGAAATTGTTTTATACAGTTAATATACACTAGTAAGAATTTTTTGAAGATAGAAGTCTTCCATTGTATGTTTATGTTCCTAAAGAATGGTCTTTATCAGGATTTTGATGGTTTTTACATGTCATATATCTTATTATATAATAGGTACAGTATATCAGAAGTATGAGCCAGTCTTTTTCCAGTCCATTGGAAATCCATTTATTTTTAGATGCGTGGATGGGGTACTCATTGATGGAAATGATAAAGGAATATCAAAAGTTGTATACAGGTGAGTGGTACCCATATTCAAATTTAATTACAGGGTATAGAACCACACTTATATTGATTATAATCTGCAATATTTTACTTTAAAATGTTTTGTAGCAACACAGTTGCCTGATAGATTGGACAAAAAAATAAAAAGTTAAACAAAACTAACATTTAGTTTTGTACCTTTTAAAATTCCATTTGAAGATATAGAAGAGTCCTTAATGCTTCCATTTGTTTCAGATCTTGTAGTGGGAGAGATCGACTTGGCCCTTTAAAAATGAGTGATAGTACATGGCTAACATCAGAGCTTCATAATCCACTGGCTGTGGGACAGTATGTCAACAATTGTTCTAACTGTAAGTTGGCATCCTGGGCTGTGAAGTGAGGTGTCGCAATGGCCAGTTCTCCTTTGCCATCCAGTTGGGTGTCACAGGCAGTTGAGTAACATCTCAGGTATTCCAATCCTTAAACAACTAACATTTTGAGGAAAGATACCACAGCTTATTTAGGGAAATAATGAAATACATTATTTGGAAATCTTCAGCTGTTTTTGTAATGATTTTTAGTGAATATAAGTAATAGATGATTTGATCATTGTGCTTTAGATTTTTAGGAGGTTTGTTTTGTTTTGTTTTGTTTGCCAGTCCTGGGGCTTGAACTCAGGGCCTGGGCACTATCCCTGAGCTTCTTTTTGCTTGAGGCTAGCACACTACCCCTTCAGCCACAGTGCCACTTCCAGCTTTTTCTGTTTATGTGGTACAGAGGAATTGAACCCAGAGCTTCATGCATGCATGCTAGGCAAGCACTCTACCACTAAGCTACACTCCCAACCCTACGAGTTTTATTTTAAATATTTTGTTGTTGTTTTGTGCTGAGTCTGGGACTTGAACCTTCAGCTCATCTTTTTCACTCACAGCTGGTACTCTACCACTGGAGCTACACCTTCAGTCTAGTATTTTGCTTGACTAAGATTTGTCTGCTTGTGCTGGCTTCAAACTGGTCTTCAGAACTCTGCCTACTAAAAAGCTGAGATTACAGATGTGAGCCACTAGAGCCCCGATATATATATATATATATATATATATATATATATATATATATATACATATAAGCATTTTTAAGCAAAATTAATGATTGTTTCATGTTTCTTTATATAGCATTATAAGTTAGCCATAAACTGTATCCCCTTTTTGTTGTTTCTGAGAATTTTTTTAAGATGATTTTTCCATAGGTAAAAGTTTGATCATATGGCCACAATTAGCATGTGGGTTTTGATATTAAAGAGACCATGAACTTGAAGCCTGTTGTTAATCAATAACTGTCTGAGCCGCTAATTCCTGATATTTGAAAGATAAACAAGGAAACCTATATTTGTTATGTAAGCTTATATGTATGTCAACATACACTTTACTTTTTAAATTTTATTGTATTATTTATTATTTATGTAGTCTTCACAATGCCTGTAACATAATAGTCACCAGTTTTTTTTACCATGTTCTAATAATTTACAAAAGCATATATCAGGGATCATAATTAAATATTTTTTCCTTGACCTTGTATCATGGCTCCTCTTCTGAAAATTATGTCTATTTCTAGACAGAGTAGCTAATGTCTGCTACCAGGAATTCGATATGCCTGCAATTTTCCCTATAGAACTGAAGCAATATATTCCAAACATTGCCTACAACTATAATGAACAAAGGTTAGTCTTGTAAAGAGCATTTCCTGTCTTCTTTTGTATGCTGAACTTAAAAAAACTGTATAGAATTAGGGATAAAATTAATTTTTAAGTAAATTAAGGGCTGAGACTGTAGCTCAGTGGGAAATATTTGCTCAGCATGGGTGAGGCCCTTAGTTCTCTGTCCCAACTTTGTCTAAAAAAAAAAATTACAAGTAACTTAAATTTTTATGCTCATAAAACAATGTTTTAATGTAGGATTGATTGTTTTTTTCAGTACTGTGGCCTGAACTTAGAGTGTTGGCCTCATAGTCCAGTCTAACTCAGGCTGATTTGAAAGTAAAACTTTTTACTTATCTCATTCTGTTTATTATTAGACAGTCATTGCACATATTTTTTAAATTTGTTTTTTGGTGGTACTGAGGTTTAAACTTGGCTTTGTGCTTTCTAGAAAGACACTTTATCACTTGAGCCACACTTCCAACACACATTTTTATTTTATGCAGTATTTTACAGGTATTCTTAAAGCTTTTCTAAGTGATTATTTTCCTTCCCACAAAAAATGTTTGTAAATACACATTTTTTTCGAGATATGTCCTTGCTGTGTGGCCCAGGCTTGAACTCACAATCCTCCTACCTGAAAACTAGGATTACAAGTTTGTGCTACCACATCCCGCTTAGAAGATATACTGTTTGTATCATTTCACTGAGTTGCTAGCAAACTTAATTTTATAGGAGGCCTATAAATTGCCCTTTTAAGATGAATGATATTTAAAACTTGGACTAATCACTGTACTTAATAACTTTTGTGTCTCTATGGGAGTTTGTGTGTTTTAACAATTAGGTTTTCTTGGCCCATGTACACTGACACATGATGTCATTTACAATGTTTGGGGGTTTTTTTCGGTCATAGGGCTTGAATCTGGGCTTGGGCGCTGTGCCTGTGTTCTTCAGCTCAAGGCAAGTGCTCTACCATTTGAGCCACAGCACCACTTCTGGTTTTCTAGTGGCTTACTGGAGATAAGAGTCTTATGGACTTTCCTGCCTGGGCTGCTTTGAACCGTGATCCTCAAATCTCAGCCTCCTGAGTAGCGAGGATTGCAGATGTGAGCCACCGTCGCCAGCGTCATTTACAGTTTTAAAGTTGTATATATAAGTGTTTTCTTGTCCAGAACATTTTTTAACTCCAATTTAAATAATGTTTTTATCTTTTAGAATGTGAAATACCAATTAATAAATGTTAACTATAATCCTTCTAAAAGAACAAAAATTGTCTGAGACTCATGTTTAGAGCACTAGGAACATTTTCAAACAGGTGATTGATAGCAATTTGTGGTCTTTTAAAATAACAGACTGTCCAGGCACTGGTGGCTCACGCCTGTAATCCTAGCTACTAAGGATTGCAGTTCGGGCCAACCTGGGCAGAAAAGTCCATGAGACTCATCTCTAATTAACCACCAGAAAGCTGAAGTAGTACTGAAGCTCAAATGATAGAGCACTCTCCTTGAGCTGAAGAATTCAGGGACAGTCCCCAGGTCCAGAGTTCAAGCCCCACAACTGACAAAAATAAAATTAAAACAAATAAACAGACTGGGAACTGGAAGTGTGGCTCAAGTGGTAGGGCACCAGCCTTGAGCAAGAAAGCTTAGCAAGGGCTGGGAAAGTGGCTCAGTGGTAGAGCACTTGCCTTGCATACATGAGGCCCTGGGTTCGATTCCTCAGCACCACATAGCAGAAAAAAAAAGCTGGAAATGGCGCTGTGACTCAAGTGGTAGAGTGCTAGCCTTAAGCTGAAGAGCTGAGGGACAGCGCCCAGGCTGAGTTCAGGCTCCACGACCGGACCCAAAAAAAAGAAAAGAAAGCTTAGCAAGAGCACAAAGGCCTGAGGTCCAGCCCCAGTAAAAGCATGAGGGAGCATGTACTCACACTTCAAATACAGACTAGACACTCGGTGCTTTAGAATATCTGCAGTAGGGAAAATAATTATTTTCTTGTGGAAATTGAATACATGAGCTAAAACGTAAGAAATTCTGATAAAACTTTGTATCATCCTTATAGGCTATATTCAAAATATAAACCACCTTTTCTCTTTTTTTTTAGGCCACTTCGATGTGTTGTTCTTGTTGCACTTAGAGACATCAACCAAGGAGAAGAGCTTTTTTCAAACTACTATACAATTATCAGCTGACTTCTTGAATTGTAAACTAGATTTTTCTGCCTTGCTTTTAATTCTGTTTTTTGTTAATCACTTAAGTGTCACCTGCCAAACAAATATTTTGAGACCTAATTGGAACAGGGACTTTAATTTTTGAATTGTATTAAATTTATGTTCTAATTTCAATGTAAAAGGTACTTGTTTTATTACAACTTCAAATTTGTAGCACAATACCAATTTTAATTGGTTTTCATCTAAAGTCACAATGGCTTATTAAAACTTACTACTTGGGCTGGGAAGGTGGCTCAGTGGTAGATTGCTTGCCTTACATGCATGAGGCCCTTAGTTCCATTCCTCAATACCACATAAGAAGGCTGGAAGTGATGCTGTGGCCCAAGTGGTAAAGTGCTAGTCTTGAGCAAAAGAAACTCAGGAACAGTGCTCAAGCCCCGAGTTCAAGCCCAGACTGGCAAAAAAAGAAAATAATAATTATTCCAACTGGATAAGGGAAAAATGTGAGCTCATCTTTTTTTTCTATTTGTTGAACATTTCTACATCAAAGGTGGGGGAAGGGCATACAAGAGACTTAAGGGAATATGATTAAAGGATAATATGGTGGTAGGAATACCCATTCTGTCTCAAGCTTCTGTGTAGTGGGTTTCCTTTAGTAATGATAAACCCATTTCTTCACTGGAAAAGAATGAGTGTCTCTGGAGAACGAGGCACCCATGGCCCATACCCTTCCCTTTCTCTTTGGACTCTGCTTGCCAGTAGAAGATTCTCATGCCAGGAGTCCAATTCAAAGGTGGAATATGAGCAAGCAACCCCAAGCCACCTCCCCAGTTGTATTAGTAACAGTTATACTCATCTCTATCTACTGATTCAACCCTCAGTTCCAGACGTTGGATAGGAAGGTGTTACTTATTCCCCCTCCCCGTCTTAAATCCTCATGGAACCTTTACAATCAGGTTCTGACCATTTTTTGCTGCTATGCCATCAGCTTTTCTCACCATGTGTTGCAATTTTAATAGCTTCCTGACTTTCCTGTCTCCACTTCTACCCTTTACAGAATGTATTACCAGGTAAAGTGATTCAAAGTCAGATCTTGACACATCCCCTCTTAGAACTCTTATGCAGTGAATGTTGAAGCCCTTCATCTACATTGTATAGCTCCCTCCTTCAGATCTCATCTCTGACTTTCCCTTTTGCTTACTTTTACTCTTAGCTGTGCCTTCAACCTGCCTCAGTGCACTGACCTGCTGGGGAGCTCTTCTCTCCCTTTTTCTGCTTCTAGGTAGGTTTGTTCAACCACCTTAACAGCCCCCTTTTACCACATTCTCCCCATTTTGCTTCCTTTTTCCTTTATAGCACTGTTGACCAAAGGCTCATTGTAGAAAATGTGCGCTAGGATATTCCTGGAGTGGAAACTGAGAAGCCAGTTAAGTCATTGTGGCCAGGATGTCTCGAAGTCACCAGACATTACTCTGTTCCCACAAGGCTTCTCCCTATCCTAAAGCCTGAAGTACTATGTCTCTCTTATGAGGTACTTATAAGGCTGTATTCAAAATTGTGCTTCTGCACACATCTCAAGAATGAAGGGATTTGGTTGACAAGTAAGGCAGAAGAGTTGAGGTTTTAACTTTCTTTTCCTGGATATTATGTGTAGTCATATCTGTAATGAAAAATGGAACTGGACAAAGTTCTAGTCATGGCAAAACATGGGACAAAAACGTGACATGATTAAGACTTTTAACATAAAAAGATGAAGGTGTAGGAAAGATACGACTAGTTATGAAACAATATGAGAGTAATTGATTGTAAAACTGGCAATACTAGTCTTAAATCTTAGTATCTGATCAAATTTCAGAAACTGACCTAAGTTGCCTAGAACAGTAGTTGAAATATAACATTCAGTAAATGTTGCTTGAGTTAAACTAAAATCTTCACTTTGGGAGGATTACAATTTTTAGATTGAAAACTATTATAGATGATATAAGAAAAAATTACTAACCTTATTACTTACCTATCACTTACCACATCTACCACCAGTTTAAAACTGATACAGAATCTATTAACTTGGAATAGATTAAGGTTCATTTTAAAATGTTCTGGCAAGTAGTCACACAAACCAAGAAAAAAAAGATTTCCAGATTTTTATTTCTGGAACTGTACACCAGGTATTAAAGTACAACAAATACAAAATAATGCTCAAAAAAAATCAGTGTTTATGTACAAATATTAAAATCAATGCAACAATAGCAACTTCCTCTTGAACATCAGATACTAAAACTTGTTCTGATTGTCACTAATTTATCTCATACTTACAGGGTACTTATTTCAAACTGGGACATTGGAATCACTGGTCATCTAAGAGGAATATTAATATCTACGATATTTAACAATAAAACTAATAGTTTCCTCCTTTTAGTGAAAAATTAGGAACTTTTTAAAAAACATAGTAATGTCAATATTTTTATAAATTATTTCAATTTTCATTTGTAGACAATGTGCTTTGAAACTCTGAGCAAACAATCTCTTGGTGGTCAGGTTTATTTGTTAGTTTACATTCAAAGTTGAAATATTTACTAGACTTTGGTTAAATTAAATAGTATTACTACGATCTATTAGGTCTGATGCTGTCAAATATTTATGACCCTCAATTTTTAAAATTAAAAAGGAAATGATTGCACAATTCTTTGACCTAATCATACAGACTTTAGTATTTTTCCAACAGTATTCTACATCCTTCAAGTAAATTCAGCAGTTGACCATGACAAGAGGAAAACTAAACAGTTAAAAAGCTAGCATGAAAAAGATGAAGTACAACTAACAAAATAAAAGTATTGCTATAATCACAGCACCAGTTACACTTCTAAATGAATCCACTGTCCTCTTCAAATTCCCTGTACACAGAAGATGTATCAGCCAACACTGCAACTGCTCACCATGAATTTTTGGTTTGTTCATATGAAAATAATGCGGCAAAGGAAAAAAAAAACACAAAAGAATTTATCACAGTTTGTTATAAGAATTGTGCTTAACGCTTAATAATAAAGGCATTATTTCTTCATGTGATTGCAAATAAGATTTCATGCTTTCAAACGCAATTCTTTTAATAAACGGTAACAAATTCTGTTAGGATGTTTAAACAGATACAAAACCCCCCAGTAAATCCAGCTTTTAAAAGAAAATTCAATAAATAGCTATTTTACATGGATAAAGTCATAGTGGTACAATTTATGAATGCCACATCAAGCATGCACAAAAATGGTATTATACATGGCAGAAGTAGTCAGAAAATATTGAATTAGATCTAAAAAGATATGAAGAATTTACACATATATACAAAAATCTTGCAAATTATTGCCTCATTTTAACAAGGAATTAAAAGTAAACGTTACCAGCTAGTTTAGCACTCTCTAAGAGGCTAAAAATCAGATTGGCATTTAAAAAATCTAACAAACTAGCTGGAATTAATTTTTCTCTCATATCATTTTCTGGATTTTGGTCAAAAATCTATTTAAATAACTAAAGTGTCCATTCAACTTGCTGATAATCCAAACTTTAGATAAGAAACACTGTTTCCATCTTCTATCAAGATCCCAGCAATGCATAGATAAACTGAATATATTACTGCATCAGCTAATGAGAATGGGCATGTTCATTTAAGTGCAACTGGTATTAGCATTCAGTCATCTTTGTGTAAATTATTTATACAGACCAGCTACTGTAAACCCAGAGTAAAAGTTAAAGTTATAACAATGGAAGATTATGGCCAGTATCTTACTAACTTATAGAAAGTATATTGACATTTAACAAAGGAAATAAGAATCAAAGTTTAGCACAACACAGCAATGAGAAGCTGACAACTTGGATAAAAATGTCAGAAGGCCACACAGAACCCAGGCTACCCATTATTTACTGTGTGCATACAATACTAGACTTTAGATGTATAAATTAGAGACTGATTTTAAGTTATTAATTTAACTACTTTTTGTCCACTGGGCTAAAACTAAATTTTATAGTAAATGTACTACTGCGTAAACACTTCAAAGCAATCTTCATTAAAATGCTGCAAAGAAAATTAAGAATATGCATCATCCAAAACTAGGGATGTCATTGCAGTTCACAGTTTGTATAATAAATACCCTCCCTTTTGGTCAGTAAGACCACTATATCCTATCTACTCATCAGCACAACCTTGAAGCGACTTAAACAAATATTAGCAATGCAGACAAACATTTAAGTATTTTGCAAAGCAATAAAACTAGTAAAAATCAAAAGCTTTAATGAAGGTGGTGCAAAAAAAAGGTAATTGTCTTAACTGTACTATAAAAGCAAAGCTTATTATATCCTAATACTGTATTACATATAGTTGGATTCACCTTATAACTTAAAGAAGCATGTCTAATCGAGAAAAAAAATGGCCAAAGTTTGACAATGTCTTCTTATTCACAAATATTTAGAATAAAAAAAAAAGACTTGAGTTTGAGATGCATCTGAACGTCTAACACTTTTTAAAATTTAAAAGTGGCAACGTACCATCCTATTTCAGATAGGAACTCACATTTTTCTTGCCAACTGTTTAAGCTAAACATATAGCTTAAATATTCTTCAAGGTTCTACTGCATTATGCATAAATTCTATTAAGTCCCTCTAAATAAGAACACTTTGAACTGCAGTGCTACAAACTTAAGAGGTGTCCCAAAATGTAAACCATTGAGTGCCAATATCCTGGGCTTTGTAGACCATGCTTCCGCAAGCCAACCGCCTCCGGATAAACTAAATTATCGTTGACCAATATGATTTTTTTTAAGATTATAATCTTGACAACTGTGGACAAAACCCCATACGAAAAACACATCTTCAAATGTCAAAGTTTTAGTCAATAGATGACATTACACAGAAATCTCCCGGCAATAAAACAATTCTGTGTAAGGTAGCCCTGGTCTAGAATTATGAAACAGGATCCAAGCAATTCTTCATAATTTGCACACAGTTCCTCACGCTGGCTTCCAAAAATATGGATTTGCTGTTTTGTAAACTGAAGTGCTCTAGTTGAAATAACATGAGAGAAGTTTCCATTTTAAAAAATCCTTGCATGTTTGTGCAGTTTAAAGAAACCTACCCCTGCTTTTAATAAAGAAAACAAAACAAAAAAAATGCTACATTGAGCAGGGATTGGGAATGGTA